GACTCAGAGTCTCTAAGACAGACATATCCAGTTTCACAAATATTCCAGCAAATGAAATCTTAGAACTTGTAAGATGCTAAGTATAGCACAAAGAACATGAAAATCACGATGTAGTACTTAGCACTTATATATAGCACTTTACATCTTCAAAGTACTGTGCTAACAATATCTAATTAATCCTCCTCAGCTAATTAATCCTTTCCAGATCAGGAAGCTGAGACACATTAATTACAATTATTATTTATGTACTTATATAGCACCATAGGTGTGCATGCCACTTTACAGACTTATAGACCAGTCCCTCACTATTGTAAACAGCTAAAATTTGTCTTTAATACTAATAGGATAAAGTTTATGGCATGCAATATTTGGAGGGAAAACTTTTCCTTGGAGAAGTTACAGCTGTGAATCAGATTCTGCCATCAGATTTGTCTGAAAAGACATAGTAAAGGGGAGCTGGGAATAAGGACCTATATTGCAATTTGGGGATTTTTTTAAGAGAAAAATGCTGTTGTGTATGAAATGGTTTTTAAGAAGTTTCAGAACATGTTCAAGCCTCTCAATACATGAACTATTAACAGTAAATAACATCTATGATATTAGTAGATTTTCATAAAGAAGATCATGAAATAATGAGTGGTTCCCCTTTGTGGATAAAAGTTCTAAATACTTGTAATATTTGCAACTCCTTTTTGAAAGATAGTCACAGTTGTCTCAGATTTTGGGTTATTGTACTTGAAGCTTCGCTCTATTCATAGTGCATAATTTCCCAATGCAACAGAAACCAGAGTTTATAAGAGAGATTATTACTTAATCATTACTTTAAAATTTACTTAATCTGCAATGCCAGTACTTAAGTAGAAGTAAATCTAAAACTAATGATCTCCCTGTTCCCAGACCATAGCACACTCCCTTAGATGAAGTAATATTATGGGGAAAATAGAGAATATTTTAATGGTGATCAGAGTATGACCTATATCCCTGTTCAGTTTCAGTCCTATCCAGACAGTCCTCATTACTAGCAGGAAAACATGCAAAGACATTCAAGAGCTTTATCACATATAAGCTCTAGTAACCAAACATTATTCAGGATATAATTATTAGTAACTCACAAGCTAGGCCAAATCTAAGCAAATTGTTCCTTGCATGGCAAAAGGTTGCTGTAATAAACCTAGGACAAACGACCTTCAACTTACAATGGATGGTCTAGAAATGTCTTCAGAAACAGTCAGAAAAATGCATGTAAGGGAAAGTATTTCTCAGTCTGAGTATGTGTGCTGACATCATATCCTGTGACATTTGTTGCATTTTAATCTCAGACTTCAAGTCCCTATTTGATGTTGAATTATGAAATTCTTCATATCAAGTGGATGGAATAAATCTCACTTTTTAGAATTTCTTAGGCTGAGGGGGTTATAAAGTGTATGGCTTAATCCTGAGTGAATAAATTGTAACAAAAAACCTTTTGAAAACTTTTGGGGTTTACGTTTGTGTGTTGTATACTGTAGTTCTTTCTGACAACAATTCACAAGCAGGTTGTTATTAGTACCGATAAATGAGATTCAATTTTTGAGCCAGTTTGCTTAGTTGTGACTATCTATACTGCTTCTATATTATAGCTCTTGACCAAAAGTGAAGAACACATTTTGGTTGGATTTTTTTTTTTCTTTTCCCCCCACAGCTGAAATGGTAAGGATTATTTAGGTAAGCAGAATGTAATTTCCTGAACTGGCATTTGTCCAGTATATGTGGTTTGACCTCCTTTTAATCGAGATCTGTTTATTTAGAGTAGCAGGGCACAATCAAAGACCAAGTGTATTTTCAGAGAAGGAGGTGAGGAAGTGAAAACAGGCAGCACCAATAAAGAATTCTAATCAGGAATGAAACACCTAAAAGTGCATTGAAACAGTGTTCTGCAGTGCTTCAATTAATGCCAGGCTGTTTTAACTTGCACAACTGGTACTTAACGAATTTACGAATAATACGAGCTGACGCCAACCAGTTTCATGTTTTCATTAGGACAGGCCATTATTACAGAGTGCTTCAGATGTATTGAGTGACAGTGAACTTTCTGTTCACAGGGTGTGGTGGTGCAGTGCTTAGTCTTCCCATGGGCTCAGGCACTCAGACTTAAGCCTTGCTTTAGGTTTGTGCAGAACATCCACCAACCAAGTGAAGTATAAATGAGTAGCATTTCATTGAGACTGGGGGTAAACATTGCTGCCTACTGCTTTTCTCTGTGTGCCACTGGCTAGTTAAATGTGAATACTTCAAATATCAGAGTGTGAATGGCAACCTAGAGCTTGATTGAAGTTGATCTTTTCTCTAGGCATCTGAGGCATTCAATTTGGGGAAAAAAAACAACCATTGTATTTTCCCACCTACCACTTTAAATCCTAATGTTGCAGCAGCCACACATAAAATCTACCTTTTTCTGGTTTATGATAGACTTAACTCGAAGCTCAGCAACACTTTCATGAACTTTCTAAATGACTGAAACAGGCAATGCTAAGGAATGCCTAAATACTCAATCCCCATCCCCTTGCCCCTGTAGCTGAATATCCAAGTGGGTTTCACCATCATTAGGAATGAAAGTCCTTACTATTCCCTTATTTGATGCTTTATATTTGATAAGAATCATAGAATAGTTAGGGTTGAAAAGGACCTTAATATCATCTAGTTCCAAACCCCTGCCTTGGGCAGGGACACCTTACGCTAAATCATATCACCCAAGGCCTCGTCCAACCTGGTCTTGAGCACTGCCAGGGATGGAGCATTCACAGCCTCCCTGGGCAACCTATTCCAGTGCCTCACCACCCTAACAGGAAAGAATTTCCTCCTTATATCCAACTTAAACTTCCCCTGTTTAAGTTTTAACCCGTTACCCCTTGTCCTATCACTACAGTCCCTAATGAAGAGTCCATCCCCAGCATCCCTATAGGCCCCCTTCAGATACTGGAAGGCTGCTATGAGGTGTTCACGTAGCCTTCTCTTCTCCAGGCTGAACAGCCCCAACTTCCTCAGCCTTTCTTCATACGGGAGGTGCTCCAGTCCCTTGATCATCCTCGTGGCCCTCCTCTGGACTTGTTCCAACAGTTCCATGTCCTTTTTATGTTGAGGACACCAGAACTGCACACAATACTCCAAGTGAGGTCTCACGAGAGCAGAGTAGAGGGGCAGGATCACCTCCTTTGACCTGCTGGTCACGCTCCTTTTGCAGCCCAGGATACGGTCGGCTTTCTGGGCTGCAAGCGCACACTGCCAGCTCATGTTCATGTATGGAACTCTGTCTGGGGACAAGTGAGCAGTCCACAGAGAGTTTGTGGGTCAGTGTTAAAGGTAATATAGCTATGAGAGACATTACTGTGGGGATCTGTTACAGACCACCTGATCAAGGAGAACCTGCGGATGAAGCACTCCATAAGAGAAGTCATATTCTCTTGTGTACGCATTACTGCTATTGCACGTTATTAGTGATAGCATGTGTCGTGGTTTAAACCCAGTCAGGTAATTCGTTCGCTCACTTCCCCCCCTTTTCTTGCCCTCCCCCTGCTCCCGGAGGGACGGAGAGGAGAATCGAAAAGAATGCAACTCCCACGGGTTGAGATAAGAACAGTTTAGTAACTAAGGTATAACACAAATCACTACTGCTACGACCAGTGATAATAATGATAAAGGAAATAACAAGGGAAGAGAATACATCATCTCACCACCAGCCGACCGATAACTCGCCCCCCCAGCCCGACCAAGCTCTGACCGATACCTCCTCCAACCCTGCAGTCTCCCAGCCCTTCCGGCTAACTCCCAGTTGCCTCCTGGACATGACGTGCTGTGGTATGGAATACCTCTTTGGTCAGTTTGGGTCAGGTGTCCTGTCTCTGCTTCCTCCTGGCTTCCCCTCCTCCCTGGCAGAGCATGAGGCTCACAAAGTCCTTGGCCAAACCAAAACATCCTTGTTATCAGCTCTGTTCCCGAGCCGAAAGTCAAAACACTGCACTGCACCAGCAACCAAGAAGGAGAAACATGACTGCTAGTGCTGAACCCAGGACAGCATGTGAATGTACAAATTGTCACCAGCCTAGTCATAGATCAGATTAATCTATCTGTGTACTAATTACTACTTTGTTATTTAACTCTTCTGAAAGCAACCAGCTATTCCAGAATGAGTTTCACTGCAAAAATGTGAACAGACTGAAAGAAAGCCTCAAGAGGATATGTTGATTATAGATCACTAGAGGAACTAAGACACAGCTTTATTTTAGACAGGTACTGTCCAGGAATCTATCATGAATGTGGAGCTGTATGTCTAATGAAATGTGGAAAGGGAAGAATTTTATGGATCATGCCTGGTATTTTTAGGGTGTCTGGAAGACAAAAGAATGTGTAAAAATTGATATTTAACTGAGATTAAGGCCAGTGGCTGAAGGAGACAGGTACAGAAGACTGGGGGAAGGTTAGAACAGGTGAACAATTTAGAATTGTACAGAAGCGGAAAGCCATTACTGATTTATGTAATTAAAGGTGACATGGGGAACTGTCAGAGAAGGAAGAAGTCCCTAGCTATATGTTTAGGGTAATAAAAGATTGATGGAATGATAAGAAAAAGGCACAGATAAAACAGATTAACTTGTTCTTGAGACCAACCAAATATTATGTTCCAAGGTAAAATACATAAGGGTGGACCTCTTTTGCCACAGGTGAACCATGTCAATGAAGATGACTCATTCACTGCAGAGGAAGAGTTATATCTGTGTATATGGTGGAATGATGAGTGAAAAGGAGTTTCTGAGAATCTGCTTTTATTTTTTTTCAACTATCAATCATCTGTTGTATATAAGAATTTTAAGAATATATGGTCATGATGACCCTCTGAAGATGTCAAGTGGAAACTGGGTTTTAAGTTGTTCCTTTCTTCCTCTTTTCCATTCCTCCTTTTCTCCCCCTTCCTTCCACCTCCCTTCCCATCTTCGTCTTTTTTTTTTTATTTCCTTTCACTACAGGCTCAAACTGTGGAGTGTTTTGAGCAGCATGGCAACATATCATCAAATGCAGCAAGCTTGGAAAAGGTGCTCAGGTCATTCTCCCAACCTGCTCAATGAAACCAACTAGCTCCTGTGCACTACTTGCTGATGGTAGCTGATTCTTTGTTGATAAAGAAGGGTCAACATATATAATCAGATTTGTGCTATTCCTTCCCATGATCAAAAAGAGGAGGTTCCCTCTTCCCTCATTTGAAATCTTTGTTGAAGTACACAGTCAGCATACCTTCCTGCTAAGTGCCTCTACAATTGTTATAGGTTTGCAGATTTTTTTCTTTCTCCTCTGCCACCCCACATAAAAACTGAAGCTGCTGGCTCCTATCAAGCCTCAGCCAGGAAAGGAGCTAAAACGAAGAATCTCTCTGCATAATTCCAATATTGATGAATTAAGATCTAAAATATCTTTCTGTATTTCAAAAAACATTCAGAGTCCATGCTTAAAATTGAGATTAGCTCCATCAAGAAGCAGTAAATTCAGCAATAAGATTTAATCTCTGTGGCACTCAAAAGACAAGATTCAATTATATTCTGTGATCTTAATTGAATTACAAAAACCCCCTCAAAAGTAATGACATTATTTTATATTTTCCCCAAGCCCAGGTTACTTGGATTGAAAAGAATTAAATAAGCCATGGTTTCAGAAAAGTATGTTTGTTTTTGCGGCCTAATAATTCACAGCTTTGAGGAGAAGCTAATATCCTTTAAGTAAAAGACTAATATCTATGTCTGGAAGAGCTTTTTTTGACCCATCTGGTTTGTCAGAAAAGTCTCCTACCTCTGATATTTATACAATATCATGCAAATGTCAAAATCTGAATGTCATCTTCAAAGACCCTTTTATGTCAGGCAACCCCTTTATAGGGAAAAAATAAACAATTTTATGTATGCATGCTTGATGCCAGTCCAATTAATAAAAGCCTTTTTTGCTATGCTTGGCTACAAGCAAGTTTCTCTTTTGAAAATGAACAGAGGGAGAATGAGATAAAAGGTCTGTATTGTTTCCTTGCAAATTTTACAGTTTCATTTTTAATTTGTGTTTGGATGTGAGGATCTTGGTGCAGATGGTGTGATAGTCCACAGTATGTTCTGAGAACCTGAAATGATAACAAAGATATGCAAATTGAGAGGGTGCTTTGGATGACAGCCAGGATATCCAATTTCACAATAGCTGAAAACAAATTGATGTGCCCAGCAAACTACACAGAGTAGCACTAGGAAATGTAACAGTGCCAAAACAAATTATATTAATGACCTGAGCAGTTTGTTGAATTCTATTGGCTAGCTTAATGTTGGTTACATTTTTTCTGCTTTGGCACTTCATTTACTCCACAAAACAACTTTCATAAATGAAAAAAAAAAGGCAAAACCCAAAACCAAACCCCACAATAAAAAAAGAGCACTTAATGAAAAAAAAAATCAGTTTTGGTAATTGCAAAATAAAGTTATACAAGAATTGGTTTTGCATCTGAGAAATGTGCAGCATATTTCATGTGAAACAAATTGAAAAAGTAGATACTCTTGAAATTCAGAAGTAAGAGTTGAAATTACTTCTATAAGGAAACTCTTTAATGTTTCAATCTAGATCAGCATTACATTTCATATTAACAAAAAAAGAGCAAAATTTTTATTATTTGATAGAGAAACCTGAATAAGAGATGCTTTCAAGGGAAATATTTGGGTGTAAAGCCACTGTCTGAAGTAATTCTGAAACAGTAATGCTATTCACATCTTTGCCAGCATTAAAATGAGAACCTGAGCCCCTGGCTGTCATTTCTGTCTTCCCCTCCTCCTTTCTTTGAATGAAAGATTCCTGTCTCCAAGTCAATTGCTTTAAATAGTCTTTTAAATTTTTTTCCTCTCTTAAACTATGTTTAAGTGGATGAGAAAAAAAGTCTGCCAAGAATATTTGTAGTTTGACTATCCCCTAACAGTTCATACATTTTTACATGAATAGCTTCTTTCTATTTAGAATGAGAAAATAAAAGGCACTTCCAGTTTTCATAAAATCATACTAGCAAATCAGTGAATCAAATGCACCTTTCACATATTTCAGTACTCCATAGTGAGTAACATGTTTTGTACTACCAAGACACATAATCTGAATCTTTTAAAGCCTGAATTTGGATTTGATCCTAAACACATGATTTTTTTTTATTTACTAATACCATACCTAAATGGGGCCTAGTAATGGAAAGCATAAACTGAGTTTTGATCTTGCTACCCCAGCGGTCAATAGGCTACTGTCGTGGTTTAAACCCAGTCAGGTAATTCGTTTGCTCACTTCCCCCCCTTTCTTGCCCTCCCCCTGCTCCCGGCGGGATGGAGAGGAGAATCGAAAAGAATGCAACTCCCACGGGTTGAGATAAGAACAGTTCAGTAACTAAGGTATAACACACATCACTACTGCTACCACCAATAATAACAATGATAAAGGAAATAACAAGGGAAGAGAATACAACACCTCAGCACCAGCTGACCGATCACTCGCCCCCCAAGCCCGACCAAGCTCCGACCGATACCTCCTCCAACCCTGCAGTCTCCCAGCCCTTCCGGCTAACTCCCAGTTACCTCCTGGACATGATGTGCTGTGGTATGGAATACCTCTTTGGTCAGTTTGGGTCAGGTGTCCTGTCTCTGCTTCCTCCTGGCTCCCCCTCCTCCCTGGCAGAGCATGAGGCTCACAAAGTCCTTGGCCAAACCAAAACATCCTTGTTATCAGCTCTGTTCCCGAGCTGAAAGTCAAAACACTGCACTACACCAGCTACCAAGAAGGGGAAAAATGACTGCTACTGCTGAACCCAGGACAGCTACTTTCACAGCTAGTGCAATACCAGAGTTTCAATGGAGAGATAGCAGTCTAAGTCATTCAGATGTCAGTGAACTGCAAACATTTTTTAATTTGCAGAACCACCACTAATCCTTTGTTCATCTAAAAAACTCTGAGGGCATTTTATACAATACTAAATCAAAGTAAAAATCCTGTCAGATGCACCCCCCCCCTCCCCTAGTGTGCAACTATGACTTTAAAATGTTATGGTTGATATATTAAAACGTGAAGCAGTTACTTGTTGCTTTCAACTTTATTTTAATCTCTCACAAGAATGAAAACAAATACTGGCAGAGAATTCATCAGACATTCAGTACAAAAACAATGTGGCTCAATTCTTAAATGTCACCTATTATATATACACTTGTATTTGTCCTAATGCCACAAAACTGTTCTTCTGAACAACACTTATATCCATATTTTGCACTTTTGATGACTTTAGCATTCCCAGTACAGAATCTGTAACTAAAAATTTCAAGAAAATGTCAATACACTAATTGTAGTTATTGTCATTTCATAGATAAGCATACTTGCGAAAAAAGACCCCTCCAACTCTCCACCCCATACAAACAAAAACCCCAACACACCAAAACCCTTGATACAAGCTTTGTTTGTAACATTTTTTTTTCAGGTTCTTCTCTCAAAACTTGCATCTAGAAGGATCCTTCTTTACAGATTAATTTGCCCTGGCTGGCAGAGTCCAGTGTTTCAGCAGGGCTTACAGCATCACTCCTACACTTGTCCTGAACCTGGAGGTGTTTCCTGTTGGACATTTGGAAGAAAATTGATGTGGAGTTATGATAATTCAGAAGGGAATGAGGCATATTGGGTAAAGAGAACTGAGAAAAAGGGAGAAGGGTATGTAGTCTCTTCCTTGGTCCTGAGGGATTTACTCAGAAAACATAGGCCAGGTATACAGCTCCCGGATCCATGCTATTGGGGAGTCTGTGGTTAAAGCTGGTAGTCATAGGGTGACTGACTTTTTGTATAAATAAGCAACAGATTAAAAGACTTCATAGTCTTCCCCTCAGAAAACAACCCCATCCCTGTGACAGGATAGCAATCACATATGTCTTCAAAAAAAATGTGTGGGAACGACCCGCATCCGTTCCTTAAGCCTTCTTTTCTGCTTATGGTAACAGAAGGAGATGATCTGGCTCTGTGGTTTTTAACTCATCCAGCACTGAGAATGATTCATTAAGTAAAACCAGAAGATTTAGAAGGTATGCTAAAAGTTTCTTTTCTTAGTGGCATGTCTTGCATGAAAATGTCAAAGTTTCCTTACAGCCTGTTGGATAGGGAAGATGATAACACAACTCATCCTATAGGTTTGCAGGACTGATCAGCCAAGATGGAAAAAAATTAGTTTTCTTTGGAAAAAAACTTCAAGAAAAATGCAACTACTCTGTTCAGCATGAATTACTATTCTGAGGCCTGTGTCTCCATTTATTTTGATTTTTCTCTTATTGCACCAAGAGCTTGTGTCCTCCTGAGTGTACCTGTGCAAAGGAAGAATTGGAATAAAAGGAATGGAGAGGTAAGAAAACTGTGGAAACTGCGGCATTTACAAGCTTTAATAGTGTTCACCACTTTTTATGCACATTCTGCATGACTTTTATAAGAGCTTTGTGGGTTTTAGTTAAGAAAGCCTTAAGGGTAAGCCTATTTCTTGCTTCCAGAGGTGCTGGGGCTTCCCAGTAGTGGCACCAGTGCAGCGAATCCTGCTGCCCTGCTGCAGAACTGGCTTTGCAAAATGAGGCTGCACTGGAGCCATGGTATCTGCCTGGAAGGCAGGTCTGTTAGACCTCCTGGTGCAGCAGGTTACACCTAAGTGCTGCTGGGACCTGCCCTTTTTGCAGACAGTGCACATCAAAGGGCAAGTCTCTATCATCTCTGGCGGAAAAATGCCTGCTCCCCACCACGGGCATGAAATCAGGTCAGGTTGAGCACCAGCAGGGACAGCTCCTGCTCTGCAGTAGTGGGTTGTAAAACCTAGACTTTCAGTGGGGAAGCTGGAAGCAGCTCTTCTTCCTGCAAGAAATGTGTAGTGCCTCTTTTTAGCTGAGCACTCTCAAGCCTGAGGTGCCTGTTCCAAATGCTCTCATCTCCTACTGACTTCATTCCTCTGTGCTACTCCTACACTCTCCTCAGTAGGTGTGCAGCACTGTGCCATTTATATGTTGCATACAATGTGTCTGAGAGTAGAAGTTTAGCTTTTCTAATTAGGCATGGTGCTATTTTAAAACCCTTTTTTCATTGCAAGATGAAGGTGCAAGTGCGAATTTGACGCACATTTGTCAAAGGAAATAATAATAATAATAAAATCCTCACAAAGCAATTAATAGCTTTTATTAACTGATGTATCTATGTAACAGCAAAGTATAGGTTTTAGATGAGCCCGGAAAATGACCCTTGGTAAAAAGCTTGCTAAAAGGAATACCTTGGAGCTGTCCATCAGTGGCACAGACGCACACAAATCCTGAGCAGTGAGGCAATGTACTCTCTGTCTTCATGCATAATACATACAAAATAGGTGAAGTGGTATGTAAAGTGAATTTTAATTGGTTATAATTGTCATTTCATTTAGTAAAGTATTGTCTGGAGACCAGGATATCAATTAGCACTCTACGGACTCTGTTACTTATGAAAATATGCATATATAGAGATGATGTGCTCTAGCAGCAGATATACTTTAATTAAGAAAGTGGTACAGTAAATTAAAGACCTTTAAAGTATTAATTAATTGGTGTATAGATCAGTTCTGGGCTTCAACTTGGTAAAGTTAAAATCACTGTACCTGATTTAAATGAGATAAGAAATACGTATTCTGTGTTGATACTAGCTTTTTAAAGGTGTCCATTGCCAGAACCATGTCAGCTTAAAGATGAAAGGCATCCCTTCTCTATACAGCACTGAAGTTTTAGCTTAAGTTAGAACTGTTTAAAGTTCTTATTTGTTCATACATAAACATCAACCAGAAGTGTTTTGTCAGGAGTCTTTATCCAGCTCTGGTTGTATATGTCCTTCATATTCCTTGGTATTAATAAACATCACAGATTAATAAGGCATAGAGAAGTGACTGATATATTCTATATTATTATT